CGCCCCTTCGCCCCAGCCAGCTCCTGTCCGCCCGTTTGCCCTCCGGGGTCTGGCGCCGGGACCTCTGCGTTTGTTTTGGCCGCAGGCCCCCCTCCTGGTGGAGCTCGGGTGGCCAGTCTCCAGTCCTCAGCGATGGGTCGCCGTCCTTGAAGACAGGCCTGGAGAGCTGGGGGTGGAGCGGAGGGCGAGCGGGTGCCTGGTGGCTGCTCGGTGAGCCTGTAACCATGAGCCTGGCCTGCTGGAGCGTGTTCTTTTGAAACAGCCCAGGACGCCGGGCTGGTGACTCGGGCCCGCCCCCGACTCTGACGCCCCCATCCCGCCCGCGGCACAGGGAGAGCTGACCTTGTGCCAGGCCCGCCGAGGGCCCTGGAGAGCCCCGAGGGGCGTTCCGTCCAGGAGGCAGCGCCCTGTGCTCCTGGGCCCCCTCCCGGAAGTTTCCTTCGTCCCCTATGAAGTGGGTCCCTGCCACCTCCCCCCGCCCCCCGGCCCCGGTAACCCCACCCATCGCCCCTTATAGTGGGGGGGGGCCGGCCCTTCCTCACATGTCCTGACCCCTCCTAGGGGCCCCTTTGGCCAAGAAAAACCTCCTTCCCTCCCTCCCGGGGCCCTCTGCTCTCAGTCACCAGCTCACCCTGAACTTCTGGTTCACCGGCCGCGGCCGCGGGGAGGCACGGCTCCTGCCTCTCTCTCCCCATCACCAAGTGAGCGATCGGATCAGGGGGCATTAATGCGAAGGGAGCGTCACCTCCGTCCCCCTTCCTGCCCGGGTGGCACGTGGGACACGTCACAGAGCCCGCGCTTTGCTCCCTGGGGTGGCTCGCTCTCCCCCCGGGCCACTCGTGATGAGAGGCTGGTATTTCTGTAAAGGTACATTGTACTTCACTCATACTGAAACCTTATGAATAAATTAACCCTTTTTTATTATTCAAGAAGGTGCCTCTCCATTTCGTGGCCTCTGGGATCAGCAGGGGCCTCTGCGGTCATTGCTGCGCGGCCGGGCCCAGGGTCTGGGGGGCCCGCGGTGCTGAAGGGGCTGGCGGTAAATTTCAGGTGGTGGGGAGGCCCCGCAGGGGACGTCCTGAGCGAGGCACGTGGCCATACCGTTCCTGGTAGTCGGCTCTTAGGAGAGGGTGGGATATGCAGAATCTACTGTTAAAAACCTGACAGACCGTGTGTTTTAGAACAGCTTTAGGTTTACAGGAAAATGGTGCTGAAACGACCAGAGGTCCCCGTCCTTCCCCACCCCCACCCGCCTGGGTTGTTTTTCCTATTTTTAATGCCTGTGAGTGTCGCCTGTGTGTGACGGTGGATGGACCCACACCGACGCGTTATCGCGAACTGAGGTCACTGCTCTATACCAGGCTCGCTGGGGTCCGGGGCGCATCGGGCGCTCTGCGTTGTACGTGATCACAGAGTCCGGCAGCCTCCGTTACAATATCGGAGGAAACAGTGTCACCAGCCTGAGAAAAAAGGTGCCCCGCCCGTTCCTCCCCCTCCTCCCGACGCCCCCGGCGGCCACCGACCTGTTTACGGTCTCTCTAGTTTTGCCTTTTCTGCAAGGTCGCGGGCTCGGAATCGTGCGATATGCCGTCTTTTCAGACCCCCTTCTTTCACTGAGACACGTGTGGAAGGTTTCCCGCGTCTCTTTATGACCTGATAGCTCCTGTCTTCGCATCGCGGAGGACCGATCCGCTGTCTAGACGCCACCGTTGATTTATCCCTCGCCCACGAAGGGCGCCTGGTGCTCCCAGGTGTGAAGCTGCTGTAAACGTGCGTGTCCGTACCTTTCCAACGCGCTGCGGTAAACACGAGGCAGAAGCTCCTTTTAAAAATGGGGCTTTAGAACCTGTTTCCCTAAAGAGTCAGAAGGGACTGGGTTCTCGCCCTTCCCTCTAGATGCCCTTTCAAAAGACAGACACAGGAGGTGGAAGGGTGCGGAGCCGGCCGGCCCGGGGGTGTCCTTCCTTGCGGGCAGTCGGCGCGCCCCTCTGGGAGGAGGCCGGAGTGGCTCAGCCCGCGGGGAACCCGGCAGTGTGCCCGACGACGCGGACCTCTTTCAGAAACCTCCGCAAAGGGTTCGCTCGGGGCCGGGGCGGGTCACTGTGGGAGGCAGCGCGTGGGAAGAGAGAGGCTTCAAAGGACTTCATTTTTCTTGATTTGCCTCATAATTACATGTTTCTCCCTCCTCCCATTTCCCCGGTTTTCCCCTCTGGCGCGTCCTCCTCTCTCTAGTGGTCCGCTTCAATCCCCCTCCTTGTTGTGGCTGTTCTCCAGGCTTGTGCAGCCCCAGGACGACCCGGCTTAGGGTTATTCTTCTCAGCAGTTGCTTTTTGTGACCCCTCTCTTTAAAGCTGTTTTTCTCCGCGGTATTTGTTCTGAACTAAATTTCTCTTTTGATGCCTTCATGTGGCTCCCATTCTTGCTGGAGAAAGGGGTTCCATTTGCCGGGAACAAGCTGCGACCTTCCTTCAGATTTAAACAGCGTGGCGGCTTCATGACTGGGTTCCCAGGACCGCAGTTTGCGCGGGCAGCGTGTGCATTTGGAATACCGTGCACGCGTGAACAGAGGGGCAGGGCGACCACTTGTCCCGAGGGCCTCCGGGAAGGTGGAAACGCCCACTGGGTCCTGGCGAAGCGTCTCAGTGGATGGGGCACAGTCTCAGCGCCTTCATTCTCAACAACACGAGTTCTGGTGGGGAAGGCACCTCGCGCTCCTCGTGGCCCACGGGGGCCGTGGGTGCTCCTGGGCGCCCCCCAAGGAAACCAGCAGCGAGGCAGGGAGGCCTTTCACGGCGGTTTGCCCGCGGCTCCCAGCGGCTTCCCAGGCCTGAGGCCGCCCCCGCGCGGCTCACTTAGCAGGGTTTGGAGGGGGCGCGCGCTGCCCACCTCCGGCACGCGCGTCCGGCAGGGCTTGGCACAGGGCCCTCTCGCAGACACCCTGTCCCTGTGGACGTCATCTCACACGTCTCTGTTGTCCCAGTCCTGCCAGGGACAAGGGTTAGGGATATTTTTCATAGAAGGTGAGGGTGCGGGAATAATATTTCTAAAAATAATGGCATTAATATTGTCGTATGTGCACTTAGATAGGGTGGACCGGCTTTATAGGTAAAGAGCATACACAGTCATTTGATAATTCCATTGCATTTCTACAAGGTGTATATTTGTGTTTTCCAAAACTCTTGGTCTGAGGGCCGGGTCTTCCCGCTGGAAAAACGGGGAGGCTCCCCTTGTGTTCGGGGCCACCTGCGTGGGGACATCGGCAGAGCCTTCTAAGGGCCGTGGCAGTTTTAACGGACTCTGCCTACTGTTCCATGGGAGTTGGTGAAGGCACCCGGTTCCCCCTCCCCCTCGTGTGTGCCCTGGGCTCGGGACGATCCGCGCGCGTGCCTGGCTGCACTGCACGTCCGGCGCCATCTCCCTCCTCATCCGAGCGTCCGGCCCCGGGGCTCAGCCACCGCCCAGGGCGACCGCCTCCGCAGGACCCTTCCGAGAGCTCCCATGTTTTCTGACCTGGACTCCTCAACTGCCCTTCCACCTTCCCACGCTGGCCTCGCGGTCCCTGGGCGGGGCCTCCCCACCGCTCCTCCCCCAGCGGCTCCGCGGGGCCGTCTCCCCGCCTCGGCGTCTGCTCTCTCCCGGGCAGCTGCGGCGACCCGGTCGCGCGGCGGGTGGCCCGCAGGCCCTGTCTCGCCTGCGGAGTCGGCCCCCTCAGAGCAGCTGATGCAATTGTTTCAGATGCGAATCTGGTGCTAACAGTCGAAAACCTGGGATCAGATCCAGATTTCTAGCCTCTCTTGGAAAACGGGTCGGGTGGGCGGTGCCTCCCAGGAAAGGGCACCCCGTCCCCTGTACCACGGTCCCATCCACGGTCCACTTTCGTCACGGGACTCTGGCGTGGTGTCATCAGTTGCCAATTTTGTTTATCATGATTCCACTATTCTAGACCTTAAAATAGAGACCAGAAGAAAAAAACAATGATTTGCCCACATCTCTCCTCAAAAGTGAGAACGGAAAGCCGGACTGAGAGCGCGGGGTCCCGAAGCCCTAGCAGGAAGCACTGAGCGTGTGAGGAACGGAGGGGCGTTCCCACGCGTGCACCGGTCACGGGGTGTCTGCGTCCACAGGCTACAATTTAAGATGCTTGGATTTGCCGACCTGGGTGGTTTGATGACCAGATATCTGCGTCCACCCTCACTTTTTCCCTCTGGAAATCCCCAGCGGCCTTTGGGGTAGGGCAGGGTCGCTGGAATTCAGCACCCCCCCTCCCCCCGCCGCAGCCTGAGCAGAGGTGAGCGGGGCAGGCCCGCTTCTGCCCCCAAGGAGCCCGTCCTGGGCTCAGACTCCGCAGGCCCGGGCACCCAGTGTGACCCAGGGCCGGTTCTCCTTCCCCGGCCCCCTGGCCCCTGGCCGCCCAGGGTCAGCGACCGGGACGCCCTTCTCCTGTGAGGCGCGCTCGCTGTCGGGGAAACGTCGGCGACTGGGGCCCCGGCCTCTCCGCGCTCCGTTTTTCTGCCGCCACGGCTCTGCTTGCTGAAAAGATGAACTTCCTCTCGGCCCCAGTCGGGCCTCCGCATGGAGAGGCTGTAGGACCGGCAGATTTTACCTGCGTCTGGTTCTTTTAAAACGGCTTCCCTGAGTCTGCGGCTGTCCCCTCGGGCTGGGGTTGCCCACCCGTGGCACCAACGTGCGGCCACATTAGTGCCCAGGACAGTTCTAGTTCGCTCCTGGGTTTCAGCGTCCGTCCCGCTTCTTCCGGAAACTTCCTGTGCTGTCTTCTGCCTTCGGGCCGCTCGCTGCGCCCTCCCCGAAACCCACGGGCTGCTTCACTCTGCAGCAACGAACTCTCTCCCATCCTGTAAATGCTGACTTTCTGGTTGTGGCCGGGAGCTTTGTGCGTGGGGTCCAAGGGACTCTCCAATCCTCGGTTTCCCTTCCAAGCAAAATGTTATTTGGTGACTTCAAATGCCCACCCGACACACTTGTGGTTTTGTTTATTTCAGAGACTTGAAGATAGAAAACTTGCTACTGGATGAAGACAACAACATCAAGCTGATCGGTATGGCTTGTGTTTTGTTGTGTTTTTTTTGTTTGTTTGTTTTTTCCTAAAGATGATTATTCTTTAAGTATTGTGCTGTCAGTTGTCTGTTGTTTGTTTCTGGGTAACCAATTTAGAAAATTATTCCTGGTCTATTTTTAATCCCCAGACAATACTTCTAAATCACTTCCTTTGCCTCCAATATTTAATAATGGTTTTAAAAATGGAACTTAATTCTAAAAATAATTTAAAGGTAAGTAGGAATGGAAAGGGCTGTAAAGTGACCAAAAAATGCACTTCACAGCCCTAAATGAATATTTGGGTTATTCAAGCTCCAGCTTCTCCATCAACTCAGATGGATCTGAACTTTTACGGGGGTTATTTTTATTTGGATTAACCGTAAACCTTCTTAAAAATAGTGGCAGTAGTTTGGCCGGCAGCGCTGCCCTTGGCTGAGCCGCCTGTGCTCGCTTCCAGCGTGTGCCGGGCCGGGATCGAGGGCGCCCGTCTCCCGCTCTGTCTGGTGTGACCTCGCCCAGCCCTGCGGCGCAGGGCGGCCGCCGCGAGAGAGCCCCCTGGGGCCCGGAGAGGTCCTCGCCGGCCGAGGGAGCATCCGTGCCGGGGCACAGTTCAGGGTCGAAGGCGGACGTGCGCCACGGCTCCGTCCGAGAAGATTCCGTCTCTGTTTGCCCGTGTGGCGGCTCTCGGCGAAGTCCCAGCCGCCGTTTGCACGCCCAGATGCTAGACAGCGCCAGCGTGTACCCTGCTCTCTCCTCTCTTTCCTCACCTCAAGTGCAAGGAGTCCCTCCCCTTTCAGTTGCTGGAGAAAGGCTTTCTATTCGCGGAAAAGAGAAGGATCTGGAGTACTTGGGAAATTGAACTTTTGTGCTCCAGAAGGAAGTTTTGTTTGGCAGATGCTGGAAACCGTCTCAGGACCCTAAAACCTGTCCGTCAAGCGGCCGATTAGATTCTTTGGAATCGCAGCCGGGCCCCAGCCGAGCAGCAGGCCAGGGCTGCGGGGACTCCGGCCCCCCGGCGGGTCACCACGCGCCAGTGACAGGCGCGGATGCGCACATCCCCCGTTAGGAGATGAGCAGTTAAGAGGAAACCAGCTTCCCCCCCCCGCAAAGATTTTAAAGAATGTATCCTTAGAAGATACTTGAACGATTCAGGGAATTTTTTTCTTATCAGAGTGTTTGACTCTGGCTCCTTGTCCCGAGGGCTGGCTCCAGCCGCTGTAACCGGGCGGGCCGGTGCGGCGCCTGTGGGGTGTGGGCCCAGGCCCGGCCGCGCGGCAGGAAGCAGAGGCCCGACCTGGCGGGGCTCAGGCCCGGAGTGGGGGCCGCCGGGAGGGTCCCCAGCAGGCTGACCCGCAACTGCCTTCAGGAAACCGGGGGCAGCGGGGAGGGCGGCGCCCTCCGAGCAGCAGCGATTGTCAGCGAACAGGCTGCGCGAAGGCCAGGTGTGCGTTCCAGGACAGCCGGGCCCAAGGCTGGGGATCCGCCGCTCGTGGTCCCCGCAGGCCTCGCCCTCGTGCCGCTCCCCGGTGAGAGCCCGCGACGGCCGCCAGGAGAGCGAGACCTGCGCTGTAGGAGGAACAGAATCTTCTTCCGGTGCAGCGTACGCTGCTATCGTCCGTGTTAGTTTCAGGTGTGGCTGGACAGTCACAGACCGGGGACCGTGCTGTTCCGGTGCCGTCACCCCTGAGCCGGGCAGCGCCAGGCTGGCCCCCAGCCAGGCGGCCGGCCGTGGGCCGCAGGGCCGCTGCCGGAAACCGGGCCCCGGGAGCCAGAGCTGCGGAGACGGCCGCCCCGGGCCCTGCGCGCTGGCTCTGCCTCTGGGAGGACGCTCGGCGCCGAAGCCCAGGAGCCCTGCTCCCTGCAGGCCGTGGAGGCTCGGTGCCCCGCCCCAGGCGCACCTGCCTTTATCCTGCAGCGTCTGCGTTCCCCGGCGTTGTTTTTTCATGGGAGGGGAACGGAGGTGTGGGGACCGGGGGGGCGGCCGCGCCCAGGTCTCCCAGGGTCACCCGCCCCGGCCGGGCAGTGCGCAGCAGACGTCACCGCAGCTGTCTCGTTGCAGCTTGAAGGTCCTTGGAGCGTTTTCTTCCAAGGAATTTTACCTCGATTTTCAGAGGCTGATTATAGCTATTAGCACGTCTTAATAGTTTCTTTGAAATACTCTGATTTAAATAAATTTACCGAAGCTGTGTTTCAGATAAACTGCAGTTAACCGGTCGTGGGATTTGATTTCATTGGGATTTTCCCTTCCAACCACACAGTCTGCTGTGTGACAGTTTAGTGTAATCTTCACGCGTGACAGCCATGACTCAGAGCAGCGTTGCGCCTCAGGTTTCTGCAGCCGCCTTCACGGGGCGCGTTCTTATACTCCTGTCGGCAGCGCTCAGCACACCCAGGGACGGCTGACTCAGGTGTCACCAGCGCAAATGGACGCCCACCTGGGCACCTCGCTGGGAGCTTCTCTCCGGTGTCACAGCCTAATTATAGGCACATCTCTGAAATGTTAATAATTACAATTACAGATGGGAAACGGACTGGTTATTTCTCTGTAAGATATTTTAAATGAAAGCCTTTCAGCTACTTTGTCAGCATAAGCCACTTCAAATGCAGATTTTATCTCCTCCACACCCCAGTCCCTCTGCTAATTTCTCCTCCTGAAACGGGGCTTCAGATAAAGCCAGACCCCGTTCCCCAGCTGGCTGGGAGCCGCCTCTTATCCCGCTCGCGCCCCGGCCGCGGGGGAAGCGCCCGGATCGGGGTTCCTTGCTGTTATTGGAGGGAGCCCTCAGGGAGAAGAGGGCCCAAATCTGGACTCTTTCGTTTTAATCTCAGAAATCGAGAGCTAGGTTTTCTGGGACTCGGAGGAGATCGACTGCTTATGAAACGCCCCTCGGGACGCCGCCCAGATCACACACAACCCGTGTCCCCGGGGCCCCCTTCGCACGGGGTCATAGTGGGCGCTCTTCAGGCCGTGGTCCTTTCACCAAACCTCCTTCAGGCTCATTTTCGAACCGAAAGCATTGCCGCCGCCGCCGCCGGTGCACAGCTCAGCGCGAGTTTCCTCCTTACGAAAGGAGCCATGCCCCTGCGCCTTGGGCGCGCGTCCGGGACCCTGCGGACCCTGCGGACCCTGCGGGCAGGGGTCCCGGCCCGGCGGGAGTGTGAGAGCGGCTGCGAGGGCTGCCCGGGCGGGCGGGCGGGCGGTGTGGGGCCTGCGGGGGCCGCTGGGCCCTGGGGGAGGGCAGCGGGGCCGGGGGACTGGGGAGCAGGGGACAGAGGAGGAGGGAGGTTACGGGAATGGCCGTGGAACCACACACAAAGGACGCACTCGGCGTGTGGACGTGCGCCGTGGCGCTTGGTTGGCCAGTGCCTGCTCTGGGTTCGGAGGCCCCCCCTCCAGCCCGGAGTCGGAGACTGAGAACCAGGGAGCGTTTTCGGGGCTCGGCCGCAACGGGGCTTGGGAAACCGCTCCCGTGGACAGCCCACCGCACCAGGGCCGGGAGAGGCTCTGCCAGCAAATGGCCCCCGGGGTAACCACTTCACGCACCTGCCCGTGCATCTCCTTTCCTGAGCTTGCCCAGGGGGCCCGCGCTGGGCAGGGGGAGACATGTCAAAGGCCAGGCGACCACACCGTGCTGAAATCAGACGGGCGTCCCGCCAGGTGAGAGAGCGCGAGCGTTTTGGTCACAACGTGGAGCTAGTCGGTGTCCGACGTCAGCCCCTTCCTGACCGAGCCCTGTAGGCGGACGGTCCTCTGCTTGGGGACGAGAACCATCATTTTGACGTTGAGGTTTGCAGGAGGAACCGTGACCTGGATTCAGAGCTCAGCCAAGATGGAGGACAGGTGCCAGATGAGGGCAGAGCACTCACAGCTCCCCAGTTACCTGTCTGTAAGATCACAGGTAGACACGGCCCCAAAGGCGGAAGGGCCCAGGGCGCTCTGGGTGCGTTGGCCTCCTTGCCTCTCCCCAGGTGCCTTCGTTGTCCAGGAGCAAAGCGATGCCGTGAGGCCCCCTGTCTGGTCCCTGCCACGCTCCCCCTGGTGTTGCTTGTGCAGCCCAGCCCCCAGCGTAGTCTGAGTCAGCGGGCGTATGTTGTTCCGCTTTTGGATCACCATATGTCGCTGCGTGCGTTGGGAGCATTGTCAGAAGACTTGCATGAAATGAAAACATCCAGCCGAAAAAGTCCTCTCTCCATGGTGGGGTTGCCTGTCCCGGGGCGGGGGGTGACGCTGTCACCAGCCCCAGAAGATCAGCCTTCTCCCCGCCTTTCCCCAGCTGGCCCCATGGAAGGTGGCTCGAGACTCCAGGGCCCCTGCATGGCCTTCCCTCCCCCGCTCCCCATCCTAGAAAGCACAGCCTCTCTTTTTCCTGGATGACTCATGCTAAGGCTTGCTAGAAATGTGTTTCGGTTCCACATTCTTTCAGCTTGAGCTGGATTTTAGAGCGAGGCCCCACTGAAAATGCTTCCAGCTCCGCCAGCCGGAGGCCGGCGTCCCGAGGTCCGCGTTGGCCCCGCGGAGCTTCCTTTCGGACGCTCAGTGAGGTGTTAGCCAGAGAGGACGTTTCCGTTCCCGCTGCCTTGCCTGCTTCCTTTCTCACGTCCACGGTTTTCTCACGCGGAGCCCTCTTTGTCGCCCCCTCTTTGCAGACTTCGGGCTGAGCAACTGCGCGGGGATCCTGGGCCACTCCGACCCGTTCAGCACGCAGTGCGGCAGCCCCGCCTACGCCGCGCCCGAGCTGCTCGCCCGGAAGAAGTACGGCCCTAAAATCGACGTCTGGTCCATGTGAGTTACCCAGTTGGTGAGAGCGGGGCCTCCCGTGAGAGAGTTTGCGAGGTGTGTTGAGAGAGAGGCCCTGGCACCGATGCCGAGCGACGCTTCGGGGCCCAGCTTTTCGCCTCTTCCTTCCGGTCCTTTCTCCATGAACCACCAGAGAGGCCTCTCCCAGCAGTCGTTTAGGGGCCGGGCAGGATGGAAACAGAGCCGTGCACTCGCCGAACTCACGTCTTTTTGCTGCTTAAAAGCTCCCGCAGGTTTCCCATCAGCATCCGTACGAAGTCAGCCCCGGGCCGGGGGCTGGGAGCCCGTGCCCGCTCCCTGCAGGACCCTCCCGCCCCAGCGCCTCGACCCGGCCCCCCGCACAGTTCCTTTCGCTGGAAGCGTGGTCCCTTTCCCTCGTGTTCTGGGGGAGGCCGGTTCCCGGAACGGCGCTCCGTCCGCCTGCGGCCCGCCCGGGGGCCTCCCTCATCCCTCGCAGCCCCTGATCTCTGCTCTCCTGGCTCTCATCCACGGTCATCGAGTCCCGGCTGACCAGCCGGGACCCCTTGGACTTGCAGGTCGAGGGGCGGCGACCACCCGGCTTGTTCCAGGGACTCTCCCGCACCTGACACAGAGCCCAGGCTGGAGAGGAAGGGAGGGAGGGAGGGGTGTGGGGAGGAGGGGGCGATGGCAGGAGGGGACACTCACGCCACCCCGGGGAGCCGGAGTCCAGGGCTAGCGCTGGGGCTGGCAGAGGACCCCCGCGGAGGGTGCGGCCCGCGCTCGGCTCTAGAAGCAGGGGGGATCCTGCTTCCCGGTGGAAGACGGAGAGAGGGGACGCAGACGTGAGAAGGGGGGTCTGAGGGCCACAGAAGTCCCGGACTTCCCCAGAACGGTCCAGCCTGTCAGCGGGGGACGCCTTGGTCAGGGACCGCCCCCATGGTCGAGCCGCAGGACACAGACAGGGCAGGGCTGGGGGCCGTGCGGCCGGAGGCACACCCCGCTGTCCCCGGCCGGCTCTGCTCCCTCGCCCCTCCCACGGGAGGCGTGGCGGGGCTGCGGGCTGCAGGGCGCGTGCCCTGGGTGGGGACTCCGGCAGGGAGCCGCGGGGGGCGGCCCTGGTGATTTGGCTGCATTGCTCGACTCCGCGCGGGGCCCCGAAGGGCCTCTGCGTCCCTCCCAACACTGCCCCCCGCCGCCCGCCGCCGGGCGGCCGCCCTCTGCAAGCGGCGGCACCGGAAACGGCGTGCTCGGCCCGCCAGCGCCTGGGGCCTCCTGCGAGTGTCGGGCCCGCGCCCTCCCTCAGCGCGTGCGTGAGGCCTGGGTGAATATGAATATTCTTTCCTTAACAGGGAGCCCATTTATGCTAAATGGGAAGCTCTGAAAGGGACAGATTTTGCACCAAAAACTGAGAATAAGAGGCTGTGGAAAGTGGGGAGCCCGAGAGACCAAGAGATTCAGGGGTGTCATGTAAGTGCGGTGACAGGAAGGGGGGTGGGGCCACAGTGGCCACGGAGAGCGGAGACCTGGCTTGAAGAGCAGGTGCCCGTTCGCTGCTGAGACTGCACGCGAGGGGGCGGGACGGTGCGGTGCGGTCGCCAGTTGTCACGGTGACAGGGCTCGGCCTGTGGAAGGAGGCCCTTCCCAGCCGTGCCTGGTGGCGCAGGCACATCCTGGAGTCTGGGAAGGGCCCTGGGCTTGTCACGGCTGCGGAGGGGTGGCCTGGGCTGCACGGCCAGCAGGGCGCCCGCCCCCCGCCCCCGCAGGCTGCTCCTCCCGGACACAGGGCAGCAAGAGCCCAGGCTGCAACCGGCTGCACCGTCCAGGGTCAGTCTTGGGCTCAGCCCCCGCCGAGTCCTTTGACTGGGTCGGGGTCCCCCTTTGTGCCCACAGATCCTCCGGCTCCGTTGTGGGAGCGGGTCCGTTGGCACCTGTGTTGGCAGCCGGAAGCAGGGGTGGTGTCGTTGAGGGGGACAGAGGTGGGGAGGTGCAGGCGGGGGGGGCATGGCCCGGGACTGGGGTGCCGGGACACGCCTTCCTCCTCCTCCCCGGCTCGGCTGCCCACACGCGGGGGCCGGGGCACCGCCAGACATGCCCCTGCTGAGGCCCATTTGATAGCATTTCCCCCCCCAAGAAGGCGATGTGCCGCAGAAGGTCTTCCAGGGAGCCCACATTGGGCCTCGGGCCTAGTCCTGCGGCCGCCCAGGAGCACCCGCGAACGCCTCTGCTAAATGGCCGTGCGCCGCAGAGACACCACCCGACACGGGAGGCGCCGCAGCTCTGGGGGCCCGGGTGGGACCTCCGGGGAGACCGGGAACGGCAGCCCCCCGGCCCGCCCCAGGGCCCGTGGTGGGGACGTGAGCAGGAGGCGCGCCCCTGTGCTCAGCCGTGCGGCTGCACCGCCGTTCCCTCGAATGAACGAGGCCTCCCCGGTGCGACTCGGCCGCCGGCCCCGGGACAGTGCTGAGAGGGGAGGCAGCCTGATTCCCGCCAGGTCGCGGGGTCGCGCCCATCGGACCCTCTTTAGGGCGGTGATGAAGCTTAATATGTGGAGGTCCTACCCCCCTGTGTGATGGCACCTGGAGGTGGGGCCTTGGCAGGAATTTAGGGTTAGTTGAGGTCACGCGCATGTGGCCCCCGTGACGAGATGACTGTCCTTACAAGAGGAGCCTCCAGAGAGCTCGCTTGCTCTCCGACGTGGGAGGCACCGGCCGATGGCCTGTGGGCCGGGGAGGGCTCTCGGCTGAGCTGACCCCGCCGGCCCCTGACCTTGGACACCAGCCTCCGGCCCCGTGGGAAATGCATGTCTGTTGGTAAAGCTCCCTGCCGGCGGTATTTGCCACGGCAGCCTGAACTGACCAAGGTCTGCCCGGGAAGCACCCAGAGCGTGCGGGGGGCAGAGAGCAGGGAGCCAACGTCGGCGAGCTGAGGAAGGGCAGGAGGCGTGCGGGGCCCCGGCGGGTCCGGGCGGAGTTCGTTGGCCGGGCGGAGGAGAGGAGGGGGACCCTCCGGGCAGAGGGAGCTGTGTCTGCGAAGGCGGGAAGGTCAGCGTTGCTCTTAACCTCGGAGACGACGGGACGCTTTGGAGCCTTCGGTAAGGGGTTAATGTTCCACTGCTTCGGGAGGCCGTGTCTGAGACGTGGTCGGTTCTGGTTTGGGGCCCTCGACTTGGCTGTCCGAATTGGACGTGGAGAGCCCAGAGAGAATTTAATTTAAAAGGCTGTTAGAAAGAGAGCGAAAATGGAAGCAGTGCTCCCTCTGGGTCCGACGCCGCTGTTACCAAACGTCCCTTTTTATTGCTTGGAAACAGCAACAGAAAGAAGAGTTCATTTTCCGAACCAAAAGCCAACGTCCCTCTGCGAAGGGTTGGGGCCTTTGTTGGTGGACAGGCGGGCCTTTTCCCGAGGCTGGAGGCTGAGTGAGGAAGAAAACCAGCTGTTGCTGGGAGAGCAAGCTCGCCCCCGTGAACGGGGCCCCAGCTCCCCGCCGGCGGTGGAGCCGAAGGGCCACGGCGGCTGGAGAACGTTGCCTCCGCGTGAGGGGGTTTCCACTATTTTCGGCGGTCGTTGTTGTCATACACGGTCCACGTAGGAGCATCTTCAAAATCGTTCACGTCTTCCGTTCCATGCAGATGAGTGAATCATCTTGATCTGTATCTCCAGCGAGCTGGGAGATTTCAGATACAGGAACAAAACCGTTGATTCTGGTGCAGTGAACCTTTTCTGTTGCGAACCAGCTTTTCCTTAGAGTGGCATATGTGGTAATTAAAGAAGCTTTAATGCAGATCTACCTTATAAATGAAAAGAATCAACATTAACTTTATTATCCGAGTATTGCAGTGCTCGTTGGAGAACATCGGTGCCTCTCTAAGGGTAAGGAAAATGGAAATTGAGAGTTCTGGCCCCAAAAGGGTGAGAATCCAATATTTTTTCACCCAAAGCTGCTCTTGGCTGTCGCGGGGACGCCGGGGGCGGGCAGAGCGCCCGCGTGAGGCCTCGTGCCCACGGGGTGGTGCGCGGCGCACTCAGGCGCCCTCCCGGCCTCGCCCAATCTCTTTCACTTTGTGGGGAGCTCCGCCCCTGGGCTGTCTTTTGGGTAGACCAGTTGGCCGATGGAGCCCACCTAGACCTGGCTGGCCGTTCAGGAGAGAAGTTTGTTCGGGGCTCGACTCTTGTTTTTGTAAAAGAGTAACAACATGCGGCAGCATTTTCTCTCCGTGCAGACCCCGTGACGTGAAGGGGCGGCAGGAGAAGGAGCTGGAAGGAGGAGACCGGTGCCTCCTTTTGGGTCCCTTAGAGCTTTTGACTTTTAAGAGAGAAGCTTCCTTTGGCTTCTGAGATGTTGCAGTTATAAAACCTAAGACTTTTTTTTTTTTTTAGTTAGCATGTGCATTTAAAGTAGAACAGGGGAAGGAAGGAAGGAAGTGGAAAAAAGTCTTAAAATCCATAAAAAATGATTTCTTGGTGAAAACAGATCAGCTCATGGAGCAGTCACGACGCTTGAGGTTTTCCAAGTGGTTGGGCCTGTCCCCGCTCTCGAGGCCTGTCCCCAGGATTTGCAGGGAGCTGACGCCGCGGGAGGACGGCAGGACGTGTCCTTCAGGTGCAGGGTTGTTTTAGGTATTTCCGAGGCGATTTCTTCCTCGAAGCGTCACACGGAAGCCAGGGGTCGGCTGAAGGTTCTCCCGGCCGCGTCGGGGGCCAGCGGGGCAGCGCCTGGGGGTCCTGCCCGCCCGTGCGAGCGGCTCTTCGGACCCTCCACCTGCCGGCAGAGCTCTGTCCGTGGCTTTGTCCGCACGTCTTGCTGACGTTGCTGGCCGCCTCCGCCAGGCCCGGGTGCTGTGACTGCCTGTCCTCTCAAGGGTGGCAGGGGACGTGGGCGCCTGATTTAACTCCCACATTTCCCCCCTTCCACTGCCTGGGCCTCTCCCCCGGTCCTTCCAGCTGCCCCTTGGAGTCATTTTTCCTTCCCTCTCGTCACCAGCGTATTTGAACCTGGCCAGTACCTTTGGGGCTTCCTCCACCCAACGGCGATGCCCCCACATTTCTTCCTGCTTAGAAAAACCCGCACCGTATTTGCGTGTTGCCCCCCGCATCCCAGAGGCGCCCTGCTCTCTTGCTTTCACCCTCTCTGGGGTCCCTGGGGGCCCCCCGTCGCATGGGGAAGCGGGAAAGCCCGTGGGCCGCGTGGCGAAGCCTCGTCAGGAAGCGCGGACCGCACTTTGGACCGCGCTCGTGCTGCGGGATGACAGAGTCTTACACTCCGCAGCCCACGTTTTTCCTGGGTGTCCCCGGGCGCTTCCGAAGCGTCCGAGGGGCCAGCCTTCCCTTCGTCCTGCCCGGGTGGCGAAGGCCCGTGGGGACTGCCGGGGGGCGGGGGAGGCTGCCCGGCCCAGTGTCCCGCTCAGTCTCTGGGACCGCGCGCCATGGATGTCCCTGTCTCCTCGGCAAACACGCGCATCGTCTCTTCCTTTTCCTGTTGTTTTTTATAAGTTTTGTGATGAAACAATGGGCCGCGTTGGTCAGGCAGTGAATTTATGCCAAAAAAGCAGGGTTCTGCTCTCTCTCTGGCTCAGCTCATGGGCGCCTCGTATGCCCTGGGCGGTGCGTGCTGTTACTACCCACATTTTGTAGACAAAATGGAGGCCCCGGGGTCAGGGGGCAGGTGCTCTTTAAGGGTTGGTGACCGTTCTTGTTGGTGATACACTCCTCCCAGAGAACAGAATTCAGGAGTCCCTTTGGTGAAGTAACCAGTTGCAGTTGCTATGGAAACCGCTTGCTCGGTCCAGGTCTGCCCCCAGTGGGTCCTGGCACCTAATTAGGACGAGCACCTGCCACCTGTGGGCGGGGTTCCAGCCAGACGACGGGGAACGGCAGGGACTTGAGGTTTCTGGCATCCTTTGCAGCCGGTGGGTGACGGGGAGATGAGGAGCTTCGTGCTCGAGGACCCCTTGGGGAGAGCAGCGTCCCCGGGGGGCGCGTGACGGCCGCGTCGGCTGTGTTTTCCACACCCCGCCTGTGGCAGGGAGCTGTGTCCCCTGACGATAAACAGAAGCACGGGGTCCGGCGCCCACGACGCCCCTTTCTATGACAAAACCATAAGCGTGTCGTTCTGTAACGTAACATCGCACACTCGAGCACGCACCTTTGACCTTCCAGGTGAAACGTTCACATGAAAACCATGGATTATTGCACCCACGTTATGACCCTGCCGACCACACTCGGGCAGGCGTTCCTTCTGCTGGACCCTGTACGAAAGGTCACAGGGACGCGCACACTCGGGAGTGCGTCCACGCCTGGCCCCGCCCCCTTTTCTCCCACCCTCTCCCCCCACCTGGGAGTGTTACCTCGGCCTCTCCCTCCCCGAGGGCCCCCTCGCTTCTGTAACTTGATTCCTGAGCCCTCGCTTCAGCTCCCTCTGTGACTTTCCAAATCTTCTTTTATAATTCGAGAAGGAAAAAAAAGGTCAGCGGGTAGTAGTCTTCAAACCTGAGTACCGTGCGGAGGTCTTGTGCGGGAAGGATGGTCTCGGTGACCCCTCTCCTTGTGATTTCTATTTAAGTTTTATTTAACGTTCATGAACATAAACTCCTTTTATTTATGGTTCTGGTACAAACCAAAAGTTATTTACAAGGTAACTGTAACCAGGCCTGGCGGAACCCCGGGTGTTCGGAGGCCCCGGCCGATCCCGGCCGGCCCCGGCCGACGGCAGCGCGCAGCGCGCGTGGCTCCCCCTGCTGGGCGGCGGGCGTCCTGCGACCGCTGCCCTCTCTTCCCTGTCCCGGTGGCGTCCACCCTGGCGCGCGCGCCGGACGCTTCCGCAGCGCGATGGTGGCCCTGCCCCCTGCTCCTGAGCCCGCAGGCCTGGGTGGGCCCCCAGTGCGCACCCCAGCAAGGGCCCAGGTGTGCGGTCCCCGCCTGAGGACCTCAGGGTCCGCTGCGCGACTCAGGCTTTCCCTCCCTCAGGTAGAAGCCCTGAGACGTCATCGACAAATGACTCCCTCTCCTCCTTCCTCATTAGCCCGTGACAGTCAACGTGATACATTTTGACAAAAGTTGGGGGCTGGTAAACAAACGCAGAAAAGCAGCTGAGCAACGTGGAGGGGGCGTGTGGTTGTACGGGGGTGTCCAGGGGCCCGGTGAGGCTTTGCTCGCGAAGCCTCGTTTTGTACGTTGCCGAAGAAGATGAACAGTGAGACAGGAGCGCCCCGGGAACGGGTCCCGGCCCTCAGGTTGGGACGCTCTGTCTGGGGCGGGTTTGCCTTCCTGTGGAAACACAGCACCGGGCACGTCCCGCACGTCGGAGCCACGGTGGAGGCAGGACGGGCACCCGGGCAGGATGGCCTGGCCTCGCGCCCCCCTGCCCCCGCCCCCGCCCCGGGGAGCCGCTGTAGACTTGGTGCTCGGAGGTCCCGGCCGGTCCCAGCCGACGGCAGCCCCTCCTCACGCGTGGGGCTGCCCCGCGGGGGGCCGCTGCGCCGCAGGCTGGGAACGGCAGCGGGGGCAGCGGCTGTTCGTGGTCCCCATGAAGAGCTTGGTGGGGTGTTGCGGGGGTTTCCGTCCATTAATCAGTGTGCCCACGACCCCTTCAGGTGCAGCATTTCTATAGCTTGGAGGCCCTCTTAGTTTTCCCCCTTCTCAGTCTCCCGAATCCCCCAAAGCGAGGACGTTGAACTCCACTCCCAACGTGCCCACAACGCAGCGCCGCCCGCGGGTCCTGGCGGGCCACCCGCAGGCCTCCCCCCAGGGCGGCTCCGCCCGGCTTCCTCAGTTCCATCTGCCTTGCTCCTGGGTCACCCCTCTTTCCAGGTCAAAAGCGGGGCCGTTTAGCATTTTCCTGTTCCCTCCGCACTTGCCACCACCCAGAAAGGTTGCGTGTATTTATCTGTGTCCTTGTCGACCTTGTCCGGTCTCCCGCCCGACACCGAGGCCCCTGCCTGGGGCAGAGAGCCGGCCTGCCAGCCCTTGAGCAGGGCCGTGTGGGGGCCTGTCCTGCGCCCCCACGGCGAGTGATGGAGCAGGGCCGGTCCCAGCGCCCGTGCCCACGCAGGGAGCGTCCAGCTGGGCGTGGGGCCAGCACCTGCCGGCGGCGAGCGCCCTAACTCAGACGCGCCTCGGTGGCATTGGGCCCCAAGGGTCTTAATTCATTTTAATCAGCCTCACGGGACTTGTTGTAACTGGAAAGGCGATTGCCTGTTTTGAAAACAGACCTCCTGGGGTGTTCGGAGCGCTCGGGGCCTCCTGGCAGGCAGACACTCGGTCCCCGTGAGAAATCTCATCAACGTGCCGTTCGGCTCCTGCGCCAGGAAAACAAACCCTCCAAGAAGGTGCTGCTGTTTTCTAGGTCGGCTGTGGATAGAGGCGGCGAAGCCGGTCGGGGCCGTGTTCGCCCGCACCTGAGATCAGGCCCGGGCTGCTGGCAGGACGTCACAGTAAACATGAGGGAAAGAGCAGGAGTGACCGGGGCCGCCCGTGCCCTGCGAGGAGGTTCCCCGGTTCGCAGCCGGGCCAGAAGGCCGGGGGGAGCGGAGCCTGCGGTGCCGGGCTGCGCCGTCGCTGGCTGGGCTGTGATGAGCAGCGCCCCACGCGGGTCTTGCGCTCTCCTTTCTGGCCTACCCCCCACCCCGCCCCCCCAGACTCCACCTTGTAACCCACACGTGGACAACCACACAATGACAAAAGGTTTCTTCGCGGTCCCTCCCGCGCCCCAGGTGGCTTTCCCGTCCTGCGGCCTGGACTTCCTTGCGGACGGAAGGGGCATGGTGTGTGCGCCTCTCTGCGGGGCGGCTCCTGGAGATGAACTCCGCCCGCTGCCGCCCAGCGCCCACCCACGCAGCCGCAGCCGCAGCCGCGCCCTTGCCCTGGCCCTTCTCCTTGGCCCCCTCAGGGCCATGCTGAGCGTTCCAGAGGGTTCGGGGGGGGCAGGACGGAAACGTTCGGGGGCCGTGCTCGGGTCTCACGCTCTGGCGTCTCTCTGCAGAGGCGTGAACATGTTCGCCATGCTGACGGGGACCCTGCCTTTCACCGTGGAGCCGTTCAGCCTGAGGGCTTTGTACCAGAAGATGGTGGACAAGGAGATGAACCCCCTCCCCACGCAGCTCTCCACAGGTAACGGACCCGCGGCCCGGAGGCAGCGCCCGGGCAGGGCCGCGTCGGGCAGCGAGGGCGTGAGGCCCGCCCGCCGCCCCAGGTCTCTTCCTGGAACTGGGACGAGTCTCAGGAGCGGCCGTGGTTCCCATCTCTGCGTAGCCGCTGTTGCGCGTCTCTCTGTCCTTCCCTCTCCCTTTGGAATCCCGACCCCCTTCCTCCTCCTGCTTAAAACACACAAAGCAAAAGGATCTCACAGTCTCCGTTGCAGAGATAAGGGCAGGCTTCAGGCCTTTGAAACTCACTGTAATATACGGTTGCCTTTGACAAAAGCATTTGTAATCACGTTTTTGTTGCCTCTTCCTCGGTCAGTTCACGGTAAAGAAATGTTCATTTTATTCAAGTTTGGCCTCTGATTTGTGTTGCTCGTTGAGTTTTTGAGCCCAGGTGTGTCTGGGAAGTAATCTCAAACTTAACAGCTGGTTCACATTTCAGTAAAGCGTTTGTATCAGGATCTGGTTGCAGCTCCAGGAAATGAATACCATTTGTTTTTTGGTTTGGACCACAATTCACTCCGAGTTCCTGGCCTCAGGTTGGCCTTGGCAATCCTGGAACTGGCTCCTCAGACTAAACCGAGCTTCCCTGAGAGAAGGCAGGTGACCAAAAGGCGGCAATTATTTAATTTCAACTTCCGATACGTGATGAAAGTATAGCATTTTTTTATTTTGCTACTGTTAGGTATTTTTTCTTGAGTTTATAAAGCATCCATGAGGCTGACCCGGAATTTATGTTTGCAAAGCGGAAATGCGTTCTTGCATGAAATGACCTGATTTGTCCACACTTGTACCTTTGCTAGGGAGGCGGGAAGCGTGGCAGCATGTGCACCTGTGCAGGTGCGGGGGGCGTGCGCAGGGCAGGTGAGCGGCGGCTCGGACGTGCCCGAGGCGCTCTTCCGCGCGGAGGGCAGCAGGGCCGCGAAGTGGCGGTGCGCGGGCGCTGAAGGAACCACTGCGCCGTGGGCGTGGCGCCCCGAAAGGCAGGGAGCGCGCCTCCCCTCGTCCCGCAGGTCGCGTGCACGCACGGTTCCGTGAGCACGTGTTGGGCGCCGGCCACGGGCTGGGAGCAGGCCGGGCGCCAGGAAGACACGGGACAGAACAGGTTGGTTGCCACCTGCACGGAGCTGACGCAGCCACAGCGCAGGGAGGAGATGAACGTACCTGCACGTGTGGCGTTCGGTCATGCAGGTGTAAGGAAAATAAACCCAGAGCAGAGGATGGAGAGTAAAGGTAGTTTTTTTGCTGTTAGCAAAGAAGACTTCGGAGAACCCCTGTACTGTGGTGCGCCCGTCAGTGGCCTGCAGGTGTGGGGAGCGGGGGGTGGGGCGCATCTGGCCTCGCCCAGCTCCCCCGTGGGTGGCGCAGCGGGTGCCTGGGGTGCAGCATGACCCCCGGGAAAGCGACATCGATGGAGCCCTTGACCCTTGTCGCGTAGACACGGCCCCGAGTGCGTGGGTGGCGTTTAGCCCCGGGCGGTGTCGTCGCCAGCGTGGGCCGTGACAGGGCAAGGACAGGAGGGCGCTGCACCCCACGCCTGCAGGCGGGAGGCCCCTGGATCCCCAGGGGGACCGCGAGGGCCTGGAGAGCCGCCCCTGGTTGTGGCACTCAGGGTGGGCCGGGCGATGGGCGGTGGCGGACGGCCCCCGGATCCCAGAGGCTGGCGACAGCGGTCGTGCATTTCCCCCTCACGCCTCGCGTTCATCGAGTTGCATGAAGGGCCGCCGACCGAGCGAGCCAGAGCTCCTGGCTCCGAGACACGTCACGTGAGGAAGGGCCGCCCTGCGGGTGCAGAAGGCAGGCAGCCCGGGTGGCATTCGTGGGGGCGGGGGAGCAGGAGGGTCGGCCGGCGGTTGTCACCGGGGCGGGTCGGCGGCGGAGACGACAGCGCAGCAGAGCCAGTCTCGTTCCTTCGGAACCGACCTGTGCTTCCCCCAGGACTGTGCCCAGACGTAGGAGGCTGGGCTCTGAGTGCTTCCTAACAGTGGAACTTAAACGTAGCCTAAAGGAGTAAGAGCCATCTCCCTGATGAGGTTAAAAAACCGTCCAAAGGAAATTCCAAAGCAGACCCGTGAGAAGTGTCCCCAGTGATGTCTGCGTCCCAGGAGCTGGCGTCCCGCCCACGCGGCTCCGCGCGCCGGCTGCAGGTCCTCACGTTCCCCCCGGCCTCCGCGGGCTGGGCTCGCCAAGCACGGCCTGCGTTGCTATGTCTGCCCTTACAGGAAGGAATCTGTGTCCCCACCCTTTATAAAACACTGCTGGGATACGTAAATATTTCTCTCAGCTGGACTGTGTACGGAGCAGCGCTTGCACGCGCTGAATGTTCGTGCTGCTCAGCGAGTCGAGCTGCAGACTGTGCTGTTGGCCCGCGAGGTCCGGAACGCAGCCCCCAGGGTCGTGGGACGGCTCGGGCCGGGGACTGGCCCTATGTGTGTGGTCTGAGCAGGCGCCAGCTGCTGAGGAGCATCTCATCCTGCTCACAGGACGAACGAGTTCAGTGTGGGGGCTCAGCTGCTGCCCTCTGATGCCCCTGTTTCCCCAACCCTTCACCCTTTGCACCCCCCAAGTGGATCTCTTCCCTCCCACCTGCCTGGCGCCCCTTCACCAACGGGACCATCTGTCCGCGCCCCCTGTGCTAGCTTCCCAGAATAGGGCGGGCGGAGGGGCGCGTGTGAGCGCCTCTCACGTTAGCTCCCATTCCGACAGCCACAGGGTAGTGAGTACTGTTGTCTCCACCCCATCCCTGAGGACAGAGCTGAGTCTTGGGAAGATTGAGTGGCTCCGCTATCCCTGAACATGGGTCCGCTCGACTCCCAGCCCTGGGCTTCCTGCTGTCCTGTGTGCCCCCCTCCCTTTCCTGGGTGTGTTCAGTCGAAGACGTCCCGCCCCAGGTTTGGCGGTATCCGCCTCTGTCCTTACGTTTTGGGTAATATCAAATTGAAATCTCCAAATTGAAAATATGCCACTTTATCACGTGTTTTACTAACACATCCTATTCATTCGATGAGTCTCTCTCTCCTACTTGTAATGATCTCACTACCTCTTTTGATGAGTATACTTTACTGTTTTAGATAAGTTGGGAGAATTTTTGCCAAGTGTGAGCTGAAAAAATGCAGCGCTGTTGTCCCGTGAGTTCATGGTGCTTGTTTGCAGAGGACTGGCCCTCCCCTCCGCGACGTGCAGACGCCCCGTGACCTGCGCCGGCCTCGTCCCTGCCAAGCGTAAGGGGCAGCGTCGCACGTTGAAAATGCATGTAATGCGCTGACCTCCCGCACTCCACGCTGGGGCGCGTCTGGACACCCGCCTCGGCCCGCACCCGGGCGGAGCCGTCTGAGCAACGCGGAGCCGGCCTGGCCGTCACGGGCTGACTCGCTCGCGGGATTTATTCCACGTGTCGCTTCCACACCGTCGCCAAGGCCAGGGGCCGCACGCCGCACGGCCGTGGATCCGGGACCGTGTGCCGGTGAGAACGTCCGCTTCGGGCCTTTCCGGCTCTCGCTGCTGGCGGCTCCTGCGCCCGCCCGTGGGCGCCGTGCGTCCTGGCGCCGCGGACGCCCTTCTGGGCCCCCACGTTTGGGACGGCTCCCGTTGCATCGCCGCACGTCTGTCACGGCCCCCGCAGTCCCTTCCAAACGGTCGTTCAGAGCAAGAGGGCTCTGTGCTGGGAGGTCACCGGCGCGAAGCCGCAGAGGCAGGGACCGTGTCTGCGAGGGCTGAACCGACGCCGCGTGCGTTTCTCAGGAGCCTTGCCTGCCCCGCGTCGCCGCAGCTGCGGCCTCCCTGGGGGCAGGGAGGGTGGGGCCCCTGGACAGAGGGGACCCGCTGGGCCTGGGGGGTGGGCTGCCCTCCGTGTCCGGCGGCCCGGGCTGGGCGCCCAGGCGCTCACCTGTCCACGCTTCGGAAGCTGGTGCCTCATGGGTGCGTGGCACATGGGCAATGGGTGGGGACCGTGGCGAGCTCCCCCCAACCCTCTGGCCAAACGGGAGCCCTCGTGGCAGCTCAGGAGAGCGGGTGCAGGCTGGCCGCGCCCGCCGCGGCTCCGGGGACAGCGGGGCGTGTTCCCGCGCCTTGTGCTCCTGCCAGACCGGGGTGGGCAGGCCGCAGCGCCCGCTGCCGGGAGCTCCAGGCTCGGCCTCGGGTCCCTCTGGGGTAACGAGGCGGCGCTCATGATGAGGGCCAGAATTCGGGGTAGGGATCCGACGTAACACGATGCGGCTCCTCGGCGGTTTGTGAAGATGCAGAGCCCTGGGCTCCACACACAGGAGGAGAACAGGCGCCCGCTCTGTCCTTGCGGTGCCGGCCATCACGCCGTGACAAAGCCTCAGGTCCTCGGAGGGCGCACGACAGGATGTCTCCAAAGCGTCGGGCACCCCACAGCCTCCCTGTCGCAGTTCGTGAAGCCACGTCTTTCCCCTTTGACGAAAAGAGGGCCCCAACGAAGCGTCCGGGGGACTCTTGCAAAGTCAGGGGGCTGAGAGGAGGGAGACAGAGGTTGCAGAAGAGAGGAGCGTCTGTCTTCGGGGGACCATGGAGGACGGTTAAGGACGGCCTCGCCTCGCGGCCCAGCTCTCCAGCTGAGGTTGCTTTTTTTAAAACTCTGGTGTGGGGCTGTTTTCTGATCAAACTTAGAGTATTTTTTTTTTTTAAGATTTTATTTTTTAGACAGGGGAGGGGAAGGGACGGAGAAAGAGGGAGAGAAACATCCATGTGTGGTTGCCTCTCACATGCCCCGCCACCCAGGCCTGTGCCCTGACGGGGAATCGAACCGGCGACCCTTTGGTTCCCAGGCCGGCACTCAGTCCACTGGAAAACACCAGCCGGGGCCACACTTAGAGTATTAAGTGCACCTTGTGACCGCTCTGGCCTCAAAATGTGTCTTTTTACTACTGCATTTTTAAAGGGCGATGCCCTTCTGGCGGCCTCTTGGCCGCTCTTGCCTTGCACCTGGAGGCGTGGCCTGGCCAAGGCCACTCCTTTGGGGCGGATCCTGGCATCCCAGCCGGCCCCTCATCGGGCGGCCTCCTTTCTCCCCTGCAGAAAACGGCTCGACAGAAAACACCCGTCGCCCTATAAAGTTTAACGATGGCAGCTGACGCCTGGGAGCAAGTGCGAGTTTTTATGACTTTTCCTCAAAAGGTTCGATTATCTTAGGAAACGGGAAAGCAGCTTTGGAGGGAAGGATAGGAAAGTTGGGGGACCCAGCAAGTGAGGGTGGTTTCCCAGGATCTGTGACGGGGCACGTTGGGAATTGGATGTCATGCCCAGAGCTGCCTGAAAAGCATTTTTATGTTGCAAAGAAGAAACCCCCACGGTCCCACAGCTCGAGCGGGACAGGCCACTTCATTCTGAAGCCATCGCTGGCGCTCGGTACCCACCCGAGGATGTGCACGTTGGCGCCGAGCCGTTTGGGAGCCTGTGACTTCCGTGCGCCTTGTGAACTATCTTCTGTGTTGGGCAGTTGTATCCTTTGTTCTGCATGTCAAGGATGCAGACACTTCACCGGCTCGGGCTTCCTGTCCCTGGAGCCCGGGCGGGCGGCAGGTGCTCTGTGAATGTCTGTGAGGCAACAGGCGACCCAGGGCAGCCGACAAGAGCATCTCTCCCAGATGGAAGGAGGGGCAGGAGGGGCCTGGGAGTTGGTCAGCTGTTCCTCGGACCCCGGCCTTGCCCAGCATGCCCCGCGAGGCTGGCGATGTCCGGTGTGCGAAAGTAAGGGCGCGCTTGACTGGCCCTTCGCACCGAGGGCCAGCACAAGAGGGGGGCCCGTCAGAGAGACGTGGGTTTATGATGGGGCACCTGCCGGACCTTTGCTCACGAACCAGAGCTTTAAAGCTGGAGTCGCGTTTGCGTTTACTGGACACGGTAGCGGAGCGCTCCCGGCATTGCATCGGCCTATTCGTGGCGCCCGGTGCGGGGGGTCGGGGGGGCCTGGGTGCCTGCAGGTCTGCTCAGAGTCTGGGACGACATGTGCGGCCGTGGAGAACGGCTTTCAAAGAAAGGACCAGGCAGAAAGGCAGCAGCCCCTTCCTGGCCCCGTGAGACGGGGTGTCGCCCAGCGAGAGCCACGGTGCAGGGTCTGGCTTCCCAGGCCTTTCCCGCTGGCTCCTTTCCGAGGGCTTTCGGAGCCGCACTGAGAGACGAAGCGATTTCTCGTCATTCTCTCTCACCCCTTCGAGCTGGCAGAGGACATCTCTTCGGCCTGCCTGCAAGGGTGGGACTGCGGGGCCCGACCCCAGGCTCTGCTGGGAAGCGTGGGTACGGGGGGCTCCAGGCCTGGGTGTTCTCATGTGCCAGGTGCACCTGCTGAACGGGTGTCTCAGACTCCTCAGGCCTGTGGCAGCTGGAGGCCCAGGGTGGGCGCCCGCTGGCTCAGGGTGGGGTGGGCCACCGGCATTGCGTCTCAGCGGCGTCCGCGTGCAGCGCGTAACGTGTGCATTTGGCCCGTGTCCCCACAGGAGCCATCAACTTCCTGCGCTCGCTGCTGGAGCCGGACCCCGCGAAGAGGCCCAACATCCAGCAGGCCCTGGCGCATCGCTGGCTCAATGAGAACTGCGTGGGCAGAGTGCCCTGCAACGTCACCTACCCCAACCGGTGAGCAGGAGGCGGGCGGCCCCGCCCCGCGGGCCCCGGGCAGCTGGGCAGGGAGCCGTGTGTGGTTCAGGCAGCGCTGCCCTCCCCCCTCCCACCCACGCAGCCCCAGGCCAGCGCCCCCAGGGCGCAGAGGAGGTGTGGACAGACCCTTCCGTGCACCCCGCGTGGGGCTCGCAGTTGGTGGGTGATGTTGAAGTCCGGGCTGCGTCCTGCGTGTCACACCTACTGCTCAGGGGCGTTCTCCCCAAAGGGGTGCATTTTCTTTACACAAAGGGACCCTTTGGACCAGCGGTGCCCAAAAGCGTGTGTGTGTCTGAGAGTGTGAGTGTGAGTGTGTGAGCGGGGGCTTGAGGGAGACCCACCACGGCCTCTCCCACCGCGTCTGCCGCGCTCTCCCCCCGCCCCCCGCCCCCCACCAGAGTCACCGGCCCCGGGTGTCGGGTGGGAGGGGCCGGGGCAGCAGGGCCAGGCAGCCCGGGCGGTGTCTCCCGGGGCTTCCTGTGGAGGCTCCCGGAGCGGACTCCGCAGGGCGGCCTGGGTGAGGGGGCCCGGGCGGGGACCCCGGCGTGGAGACGCCGCGCGACACCCTGCCCCAGGCTGAGGACAAGCCCACGGGACCGTCTCCTCGCCCGTTCCCCGCCCGTTTGACGGGCAGCCGTAACTGAGGCGAGCGAGGGAAGGAGGGCCCTCGCCGCGGTCACCCGAGAGCAGCGTGGGGACCGCGTGGGTCCGACGCCTTTCAGGACCGGGGCACCCTGGCTCGTCCCGTCAGACCTGAGAGTCCCGCACGTTTGAGGACAGGCGAACTCGTGGGACAGCGTGGGGAGCGGCCGGGCAGGGCACGTGTCCTCTGTGGGCACGTTTTCGGGTTGCCCAGGAAGGTCTGGAAACTTCCACCAGGCCTTACAAACGTCGTAGTGCTGACTTCTCCAAGTGAGAGGGGCTGGCAGGGGTCCGTCTGGGGGGAAAGTTCTGGAAGAACCTCAGGGGACATGGGTGGCCGTTCCTGGGGTCCGCACAGCACTGCTGGGTCACGCACGCTCTCCGTGCCCACAGACGAGGGGCCTTGACCCGCTGGGCATGTCCCTCGGGGCGGCCGGGACTGGATGCTGGCTTCCCACCCAGGCTCGGGTTGGGCCGGGATCTGAAAAGCAGACACCAGGGAGGCCAGCCGCGCGAGGAGGGACGGGGAGTGAAGCCGAGGTCAGGCGCCCGCAGGCCAGCGCGTCCCGGTCCCAGCGAGCGGGCTCGATCCGCTAACCCGGCAGCTGTCGGAGGAAGCGGGCCTGGTGTGGGAGTTCCCCCGCCTTGTTGCCAAGCCTTCGCTCACAGAGAACCACGCTGTGGCGTCTCACTTTCCCCACAGGCCGCAGGCAGGCCCTCGAAGATTAAAACTCGGACTCAGGGGCCTGTGCCGGTCTGGCCAGACGAGGGTTTCTGGGCTCGGGCCCGGGAGGGGTCTCAGGCTGTGCGAGAGCCAGCTGGGCGGGCCGTTAGGACGGGCGGGTCCCGCGCGTCCCCGGGGACAGGGCTCCGCGTCTCCCGCTCAGGGAAGGCCTGTCGCCCGTGTTCCTCTGGAGGCAAATCAAGGCGCCGCTGTGAAGGGGTGAGGCTGGAATTCTACCCTTGTCTTTATTTTGAAACACGTTTAAGGTGGGGAGAACAGTGACCATTATTTTCCTGGTTTTACCCGCCAACAGGTAAACGCAGTAGGAGCATGTGGAGGGAGAAAGAAATCTCCTCTGTGTAAAGCGTATTCTATAACTTCCCAACGTACCTTGCCCCAGATTTAATTATTTTAGACGTTACCAGTGTTTCCTGTTGGGGGAGAAACAACAGAAAGGTCCCCTGTGTTGGGCCCCTCTTCGGGAAGGGCGCCAACGCGCGCCCCGTGCCTGCGGCCTGCCTGCCGCCCGTCGTGGCCGCTCTGCCTGCCTGGCTGGGAGGCGACGGGCGTGGGGGTGGTGCCGCCGCGCCGGGGGGCCCGGGCCCGGGCTCGGACTCGGGGGCCGCTGCCTCCTTCCTCTGTGACCCTGGCCGAGTCACGCCACTGCCGTGGACCTCATTTCTTCACTTGTACGTGGGGGAGGGTAGCAGCCCCTGCTCGTGAGAATGTCGCAAAGACTAAGTGGATTCCTGTCTCTCGTCCCCACTGGGAGAGGCTGGAAGGAAGGAAGGAAGGAAGGAAGGAAGGAAGGAAGGAAGGAAGGAAGGAAGGAAGGAAGGAAGGAAGGAGCGCACGCACGCACGCACACATGCCTGGTACTTCTCGGGCACTGTATCCCCGGGAGCTGATAGTCCTCCTGCAAAGGTTTCGTCTGTCTGCGTGGAGCCCCCTGCTTTGCGGCGGAGCCCCTGTGTCCCGTTTATGAGCTTGTGAGCTCACGCAGTTCCGTTAAACACCGTCTGGGCCGGTTCCTGAAAACCTGCCTTTATTACTCAACTCGCACCCACTTAAGTATGGGCTCCACCCACGTCCGACAAATACGGCTGAAGGAAGGAATGTCAGACTGTGGAGAAGTCGGGGGACAACTGGGGAAACTGGAGAATAGTGCAGATGTTAGAGAATAGCGAGGTCACGGAAACGTGGTTCGGTGTGTTGAGGGCTCTGATTCTGCGGGAGGTGCCCTTGGTTTTGAAGGATGCGCACTGAGGTGTGTAGGAAGGAAATGTCCTGATGGCTGGGGTTTAAAATAAGAAAGGAAGGAAAGCGAGGGAGGGAAAAGGAGGGAGAGAGGAAGGAAAGAAAGAGAAGAAAAGGCAGCGAGGTGTTGGCCTTGTCACCTCCGGGCGCTCGGTCCCCGTCGGGGGTGACGCTCTTCCCTCCCCTTCTCTGTGGAAGGGGCGTTTTCTGTGATGGAGGGGCAGGGAGCGGCCGGAGGGGTCGTCCCGCAGGCACTGCGCACGGTCCCTGGGGGCCGCTGCCTGCGGGCGGGGGGTGGGGGTGACCGTGCCCTGTCCCCCTCCCGCCAGGATCTCGCTGGCGGACCTGAGCCCGAGCGTGGTGCTGCACATGACCGAGAAGCTGGGCTACAAGAACAGCGACGTGATCAACACCGTGCTGGCCAACCGCGCCTGCCACATCCTCGCGATCTACTTCCTCCTGAACAAGAAGCTCGAGCGCTACCTGTCGGGGGTGAGTGGGGCCCTCGCGACGCCTCCCAGCGCCGGGGGGCGGGGGGCTCTGACAGCCCCCGTGCGTCCTACTCACTGGCGCCGATCTCGGCGTTTAGGTCCGACGCAGGGGCGGCCGAGGTCCCGAACGGGGAGGGAACAGCAGCGAGCCTTCCTGTTGGGGCGGGGGCGGGGGTACGTGTCCCCTCTGCGGCGTTTTCCCGATGGCCTCCCGTGGAGCCAGGCCTGGCAGCTGGCGGGAGGCTCGGCCTCTTCTCCCTCTGGCTTCTCTCCCTTCTGGCTGCCGCCTCTGACTCCCTGGGGTCCCGCTGGAGGCGCTGGGGACACGTGTGGCTGTTGAAGCGGGGGGGGGGGGCAGTGAATTGGAGACTCTGCATGTTTATTCTCCAGAAGAGCAAGGCGAGCGCCCCCACCTGGCCCCCGGCCCCCCTTCCCCAAGGCTGCGCATCAGAGAGCGCGAGGTGGCCTGTGCCCCTGGCGAGGCCCTGGGGGGCGGGGGGTACCCCGCGGCCGTGGTCACCATTGCTCTGCCACCAGCAGCTCGCGTGTGCCTGGGTCTGGGAGCGAACGCGTGTGGTAGCGAGGCTTAGTTCTGAGCACATGCGCTCCCTGAGGGGGACGGTGGCTTCAGGACAATTCTGCGAGGAAAACTGGATGGAAGGTGGTGTGGGCGCCGCGCGCGCCTCCCACCCCTCCTGCTCGGGGCGGGGGGCGGGGGGGCCGCACCAACAGGACGTCCACCAGCGAGTGCGCAGTGTCAACCACGCGCGGCTGGATTCCTTCCATCCCCGCTGACCTGGCGGAGGACCTTCCTGGGAGGAAGACACTTAGAGTCCAGACCACGAAGATGAACTTGTAGAGGTTTTTTTTTTTTTTAAGTGCTATTTAAAGTCATGTCACAGCCTAATATTTCACACAATTCCCCTCCAAGAGGCTTGGGAACCTTCCTTTTTTGTCCTCATCCGAGGACATTTTTTGTGGCTTTTCGAGAGGGAGGGAGGGAGAGAGAGAAACATCGATGTGAGAGAGGAGCACCGATCAGTTGCCTCCCATACGCGCCTGGACCAGGGATCGAACCCGCAACCTAGGCTCTTGAGCCACACTGGCCGGCGCTTGGCACCCTTTTGTGAGGCTTCTGTCTGAGAGAGAGAGATGAAAACCCATCCGCAACTGGGGACGTGACCTGCTCTGTGACAGGGCGGCAGTGGCCCACGTCACGCCCAGCGACCAGGGGGTTGACAGTGTGTCTCCTGAGTGAGGGGGCTTGGGAGGCGGCTAGAAAACGCCGCTGAGTGGGTGGCGGGCCTCCTCGGGGGTCTGCGGAGCCGCTGGGGGCGAGGACAGGCTGCTTCTGCGCGGATTCGGCTTCGGCTGCTTGCTGGGCTTTGCTTCCCCAGGACGTGAGCCACAGAATCCCTCTTTTTGGTGAACTGCCCAAGGAACGATGTTCTCAGGAAGGGCCGCTCTCAGTGGTAACGGCTTTCCACAGCCAGGGGACAGGCGATTTAGGGGGGCGGGAGACGGGCCCCGAGCGAGCGGAGGTGGCTGGCCGAGGGGCGGCCGTGCGGCTGGGCTTCGGAGACGGCGTCGCGGTCGCAGGAAAGCAACCGCGGAGGCCGACGGCCGGACCACCCTCAGCCCAGGGCCGCACTTACGTCGCTTCAGTGCGTGAGGAGGAGGGGCCGAGAGGCTCCCCACAGCACCGCGGCTCGCCGTTCCCCAGGGCAGGGGACTTGAAGGGCAGATTGCGCTTGGAGCTATTTCTCGTTTGTGTTTCCGCAGAAGGTTCTATGCCCTTCATCACTCTCATCCCTGTTTTCTCATCTCTTTGTAACATACGTGATACATCAGTACAGCGTTACGTGCTCATGATTTATCAACAAGCGTACACACAGTACAGGCGCCTGCCTGCGACACTCGCTGGTGGGCTCACGGTCACACCTTCGGGGCCACCGTGGTGGGGGACAGCCTCTAAGAATTTAAGTAAGAAAAAGGGAGGGAAGAGGATCAATGCACCGGTGTTCTTTTTCCAAACGATGAACGATGTTCAAAAGTGTGTCTCTAGAAAGTGTTTGCATGAAACTGGCTTGAAGCCCGTGACCTCACGTGTTTAGAGGACGGCATGTCCCCTCCTCTAAGGAGCCACAGATTCACACGCTTCTTTGGCAGAACTGGTTCTTCAGCTGCTGAGCAGTAAGATGGAGGGACTTAGGTTCTTCAAGTACTTTCTGTCCGGGGTCTCCCTCCACATCTGAAGATGGGACCTTGGTCACGCCCACTCTCCCTGAACATTCTCCCGCCGGCGGCCCGGCCCGTCCCGAGCGGAGACCTTCGTCCTCCCTGGGAGTCAGTCCTGCCACCTGCGGGGCTCTGCCCTGCGGCCCGGCACCAGGGCCGCGAGGCTGACCGGGACGTGGTCGGCGGAGAGCGTCCGCCAGCGCCTCAGCTCGGGGAGTTCTCGCGGGGGACGGTCCCTCTTCTACTGCGTCTGTTCTGCCCTTGGCCCTTCACCCGTAGGACGCACCTGGCCTGGCGGCCGCCTGTAACTGGAGCAGACGAGTCCCCACAGATGACAGCAGCGGTCCGCTCGGCAGCTTCGCGTGTGGCTAATTTAATTGCACTGTGTCCCCCTGTCCTAGTTCTTAATCTCAACCAATTAAGAACAACGTGTGTGACTTTGAAAATGAAACGCGTGATTGAAAGAGTGAACTATGAGGCCTCAGTCGCGTATTCCTCCTCTTCTCTCTCGATTCTCGTTTCTTTTTTCCAAAGCCAAGAAGCATGGGTTCTGATGGGGAGACCCTGCAGGAACGTGCTGTGCACGTGTGCTGGTCGGCGAACTGACCGGCCGCCCAGCCTCACCGGCCTGCAGACGGGGGTGGGGTCCCTCCGTCTCCGGCGCGGCCGTCCACGCTCTCCCCGGCCGGGGTGAACTGCGGGGCCTCCTCCTGGGGCGGGGGGGGCGGGGGCTCCTGTCAGACAAGCAGATAACCAAGACCTGAATCCTGTGAGGCGGTTCACACGAAACCAGCCCCGAACCTGGGGTCCGCTCTCACGCCTCGGAGCACCTTCACTGTACCGCTGGGGGAACGGAGACCGGCAAGGGGCGGTGACCGCCCAGGGCCACCTGGCCTTCCCGGGCTGTCCCAGAGCGTGGCTTCTCTGCGGCCGCCTGTCCTGCCAGCCCCGTGGGGCGCTGGAGCGCAGCCCCGGTTCAAAGCCGAATCAGCCTTGACGCACATTTCTGTTTCCCACGCACTAAGCACGCTTCCCTTCTCCTCCTCGGTAGAAGTCCGACAGCCAGGACGGCCTCTGCCCCAAGACCCAGCTCTCCCAGGTGGACCGGTGCAGGCCCAGCAAGGAGCCCTACGAGGTGAGTGGCCCCGCGGGGGACCTGGGTCCCTGAGAACAGCCGCCTTCCGTTGCCGGGGCGCGGGGGGAGTGGAGAGGAAACCAGTGACCGTGGGACTGAGCAGCGGCGAAGGCCGGCGCCCGCCTGAGGGGGCCCTGGAGCGGTGGTTTCCGGAGGGGCCGCCGTAGCTACGGCTCAAGCCAGTTCCCTGCTGCGGCGGCGAGATCACCACCCCACCCCCCAGCCCCCGTCCCTGCCCCTGCCCCCTGTTCTGCAGACTCTTGGGCGGGACGGGCATCCGTAGTTTTTAAAGCTGCTTGGAGGATCCCATGGGGCAGCCGAGGTTGGAAACCGCGACTGTCCAGTCTCCTAACCCGCGGCGCCGAGCGGCTCATAAAGGAGAGCGCGCACGCCGCCGGGCGGGGGCGGGGGTGGGGTGCGCGTTGGGAGGAGGAAGGTGAGGAGCGCAGAAACGTTTCGGTCGCGAGCGAGCTTTTCCAGCCAGCTGGCCCTGGCACCGGCTCACACCTGAGAAACACCCAGATTCTTTGATTTCAGAGTAAAAGCGAATATCGTGTGGCAAATGGCCCCCATGTGGCCCCGCATACATGCTTGTAATGAGATTGCGCTCAGGGGGTCCAGATCGGGGCCAGAGCCCCAGGTGGGCCCCCTGGCCCACCCCCCTACCCCGCCCCGCCGCCTGCCTCCTCAGTGGTTCTCCGGGGACCTCTCCCACCTGCCCCCACGTGCCCCCACGCCCCCACGTGCCCCTTCACCTGGGGAGGAGCCAACAAGGGCCCCTCCCGCGTGCTCTGCGTGGGGCCAATGGGCGCCCGCCTCCCGCTTCCTGCCTCCTCAGAGGTTTCATCCTGACCCCACACCAGGGAGGGGGCCCCGGGTTGGCCGTCAGGGCGAGGCCCCGGCCAGGCGGTAACTGGTCACTGGGCAGGGCGCCCGGGCGTGGGGGCCAGGGACCGTGACGCGGCGGCCCAGCCTAGACCCAGTCCGGGGGGCGGCATGGCCGGGGGGCAGAGACGAGAGACCCGGGCGACAGAGGAGCCAGTGAAGATGACAGGTGGCCCAAGGGCGGGTGGGGAGGCCCAGGAGGTGGCGCGGCCTGCTGGCCAGGGGTGAGGTCAGGTCTGGAACGGCCAGTGGTGCCGCTGAGCAGCTGCTGTCCCGGGACCTCTGACGCCACGTCTTGGTGGCAGTGGGACAGGCAGAAGGGAGACTGCTGGGGACGCCTGGATGTTGGGGTGCAGTCGGTGAGCGCGGCCCGCTCTCGGTGACTCCCCAGTGAGAGGAGGATCGGTCGTGCCCTGGGCCTGACCCGTGGGGTTGGCAGGGAGCAGGGAGGGGCCTGGATTCCCAGCGGCCGAGGTGGGGCTTAGCTGTGAGGCGCCGCCTTCCTGTGAGTCCGGCATCCAGGCACCAGCAGGATCGGGGGCGGGGGGGTGCGGGCTGGGGCTTTGCGGGGACACGGGGGCGGGGGGAGCAGCGGGCGGTGGGCTTGCCTCTCGCCAGCTGCCTGCCAGACCTCCTCTTGTGCGAGCGCGGGTGCCCGGACCCCCACTCTGTCTCCACACGGCGGCCTCGCCCTCAGGCCCGGGCAGAAACCCGGGGGTCCCGCGAAGGCCTTCCCCTCGCCCCTGGAGCCAGTTTGTCACCAGGCCCTGCCCGTTTGACTGCTGAAGTTCCCGAACCCTCTCCTGTCCTCATGCCACCCGCCCGCCCTGGGCCCTGCACCTCGGCCCCCGTGGGACGGCGTCCTTCCCTGCTCAGGCCTCGGAGGCCCCCTCAACCCGGGGCGGGCGCCGCGGCTCGATGCAGCCGCCAGGGCGGCGGGGTTCACTGTCCGCTCCCCATCTCGGGTCTGCCCTTGGCTCTTCGGGGCCCCAAGCACGAAGTGGACTTAGCCAGACCCGCCGGGTGCCCCTCAGAGGCTCTGCGCCCGGCGCTGACCGCCCCCCTCCCCCGTGTGTGCCCCGCCCGTGGCTGTGGTCAGGACTGCGGCGGGGGAGGGGCTTCCTCCGTCTCCCAGAGGGTTGTCTCCCTGGGCAGCAAACCCGTGGTGCGCGTTGTAAGCGTCTGCTGGGATGTTAGTGGTCGGGGTTAGAGCCGGCGCGCCGACCGGAAAACAGGGCTTCCGCTTCCCACGGTCCATGTGCTTTCCCCGCCCTCACGCTGCTCCCGCTGATGGAGCGACAGGCTTCACTCCACGGCGTGACTGTCTCCGTGGGGACAACCCAGAGGGTGGGCGGTTGCGGGGAAAACGGCAGGGGCAGCTTCTTGAGTTGCTGACCAATGCCGCTGTCCGCAGGCCTCCCTGGACGCCTGGACGCGAGACCTGGACTTCCACGCCGTGCAGGTGAGCGCCGGGGGTGTTGTGCGTGCCGGTCAGAGTCCTCCAGAGAAGGGGCCCAATGGCGGGGGGTCCTCTGCGGGGGCGCCCAGGGAGAGGTGGGGGCCCAGCCCCGGGACCCGAGCCGTTTGGAGGCAGAACTCCTCAGGGACCCGCCTGCCCCCGTCTTTGTCCCCTAAGGTCCTCCACTGATGGGACAAAGCCCACCTGTTGGGGAGGGTCATCTGCTTTACTCCGCTGATTAAAATGTTAATCTCATCTGAAAGAAGCTGTTCTCAGTGACTTCTGACATCCGGACTGGTGCTGGCCAGGCCTCACGCCTGCCCCGAGGCTGCTGCAGCCCTGCCCAGCACCCTGGGCTCTGCCCCCCCGCCCCCCCAGTCCTGAATTAAAACAAGCAGAATCCCCTCGTGAAGGGGCTGCCAGGCCCCCTCTGACGGGATCCGTGCTCCTCTGTGCGGCGGGCCGTTCCCCGCGTCCTCTCCCTGTGGCTGCACACTCCCGTCTCTACCCGCGTGAGCAGCAGGGTTTGCCACGTCCAGGGCTCCTGGCCGGCGGGCGGCCTCACCCGTGAACCGGGCCCTCTTTTCCTCCACTCGCTTGTGTTTTTCCCATGGCAAAATCGGGCCTCGGCAGCTTTCCCTTATGGGACGGGCAGCAAGGAACCCAAGCCGGCCCGCCCTCGCTGGGCCCCGGGCCCTCCGCTGTCCCTGGCTCTGACTGACTTCCCAGGGTGCCCCGCGAGGCTGGTCGGCCCACGGGGCAGCAGGCTCCAGAAAGGCTGCGCTGAGCTGGACTGGGTGGCCGCTCGGCTGGTCTCAGCCTTTCGCTTTAGGGAGCCCAGCGAGTGAGGGAAAGGGCCCGAGGCGAAGCCACAAAGATGTCGGCAGTGGGGACGGCGCAGGGACCGCAGAGTAGCCTGAGGGCTGGCGTGCCCGACTTTGTGGGACAGGTCCTCGTGGTCCCTTTGACTCTTGGGGAAAGCGGGGAGCTTGCCCTGTCCTGCCTTCGAGAAGGGGGGCCGTTTTGCAGAAGCAGGGGACCGACCAAGGGTAGCTGGGCTGACCTGGGGCAGCTGGGCCCCTCTCCCCTTGGTAGCATCACGCGAGGTCCCTGCCCCCGGCCCCCGGCCCCCGGCCCCCGGCCCCCAGAGGACAGTGTGGGGTCTGGGTGAAGAACTGCGGTTTTGAAGCTCTGGAGCTAATTTGTTGCTCCCGCTGTCCCCTGCCTGGAGGAGGGCTGGGCAGGGGCCTCACCTCATCCTTCGAGGGTCCCCAGTAAAGGCTGCTGGTGGCTGTGCAGACGCTGGGAAAGGAGTTGGCAGAAGCTTCGCCTGCCTCTTCTCTTCCCGCCTCACCTCTCCCCTGGGGACAGGCCACCGCAGCCGGGGCTCCGACCGTGCACGGTGACACTCCGGGCCCAGCGTGGCCTCCCCACGTCCCGTGTCTTTCCTGATGCTCTTTCCCACTCAGAAACCAGAGGGGGCATACCCCAGCCCGTGAGAGCTGCGTATGTTCTCACCAGCAAAGGCACGACCGGCGCAGTGCCGTCTGCGGGAAGTTTCGCGGCTCCCCCACGAGAGCAGGCGCGGCCTCTGGCGCGAAGAGGCTCTCAGTTCCAGGCGGAAGCGTGGCTGCGAGGTCGGGCATCTGCTGGGCGGCTGAAAAGGAGCCGGTGCCCGGCGCCTGGGGCAAGAAGAGGAAGCCCCTCCTCAGTGGCCCCCTCTTCCCGGGAGCCTGACCTCATTTCATTTCAATGCCTTGCGATTTCCACTGGCTTTTTCTTCTTTAATGTTTTGATAACTATTTGTTAAACCTTCTCTGGGCCTGGCTTTATGCCCCAGGCTGTGGGTTTGAAGATACAATGGTGAGGTTCCCTCCCTCCGCAGGGTTACAGGGGAGTTCAGTAAAGGCAAGCCAGTTGCGAAAATGACCACACAGTGCCCGTTCTAGGAACACCAGGGAGTGCTCGCGGGACCAGAGGGTGGCGGTGTGCCAGGCGCGCCCGGGTGGCCCAGGGTCCCGTGGGCTTCCTGTCTGGCCCTTGGCGTGGCTGAGCCCTTGAGAATGGCCAGGTCCGGGTGACGTGGCTGCGTGTCCCCCGTGGCGGAACCCGAGGGCTCTGCTTCCAGCGAGATGGCAGGTTCCTAGTCCGCCCGGCTTGCCCCAGGATAACCGGCCTCCTAGGGATGGCCCTCCCCGGGCTGGGGCGCCCCCCGGCGGTGCAGCACAGGTTGCTGGGGACGTTGGGAGCCAGCCCGGGGAGGTGGGGCCCCCAAGGACCCCCAGGCCCCCGCTCTGCTCAGAGACTTGTGAAAAGCTGGGTTTCTCCAAACTGCGCGGATAACCCCTCAAACTGGAAGCACATGGTATTGGGCTGGCCAAACGGTCCATCACGTTCTTTCTGTAAAGTGAAAGACACATTTTTCATTTTCACCGCTAACTTTATCGATGTGGACATTTGGAGTCCGGCGGCCGTCTCCTGCGGTCAGCCTCCAGTGGGGAGGGGCCCGGCTGCTGCTCCCCGCCTTCCAGTGCATGAGGCAGCCCCACGGCCGGGAGCTACCTGGCTACGGTGTCAGTGGTGCCAGGACACCTGGCTGACCGCTTCTGACACGTTCCATCCGTCCCAGCACCTCTCCGTACACGGCACAAGTCTTTTTTTGCGTTTCAGTTGCGTTTTTACCTCTCTTGAAATGATAAAACATAATATACCGAAAATGTTGCCTATTTTCTTCCATCTTCAGTATTAAAATGACTGCACAAAAATTTACCAATTTTGATACTTTTTTTTAAAAGCCCATGCTGATATGACAGCTGTCACAATACAATCTAACAAAATTCTTTCGCATGAAGCTAAAAGACAGCTAAGCGCTACTAGAGCCACCGTACGGGAAAAACCAAATGGACTTTTTGGCCGACCCAACAGATTCCTGTCTGTGTCTGAGTGCATGTCCGCTTCTGATTTGAAGGATAAAAAGCCCAAAGAACAAGAAAAAAGAGGGGACTTCCTTCACCGGCCATTTTCCAGGAAGTCGGACAAGACGCTGTCCTCGCACAGGCCGCCCCCAAGCTCGCCAGTGACGCAGGTGCAGAGCACCCGGGTGCTGCTGAGGGACCGCAAGGCCACCAAGTCCGGCTTCCCCGACAAAGGTGGGTCCGCCCGGCCTGCTCCCCAGGCCGCCGTGCCGAGCTGCGTGGTCGCGGCCCCTGTGCCCGTGGGGACAGTTGAGGTCTGCCCACATGCCATCGGCCGCCTGTGCAAGGGAGATCTAGCAAGCAGAGGCGGGCGGGCGGGGGGCGAGGGTGGACAGTGGCACGGGCCTCACGGTGTCCTTCGCTCTCTTGGGGTGCAGATCCCTTTGGCTGCCGCAGCATTTTCCGCAGAACCTCAGACTCCCATTGTGTGGCTTCCTCCTCCATGGACTTCATCGCCGTCCCGCCGCCCCGGACCCCCAGGGTGGCCAAGAAGGCGGAGCCCCCGCAGCAGGGCCCGGGGAGCAGCGGCAGCCCCCCCAGGGAGGACCCCCTGGCGCTGGACATGGTCCGCTCCTTCGAGTCTGTGGACCGCGACGAGCAGCTGGAGCTGCTGTCCCCGGCCCGTCACTGTGGGGCGCTGGGCTCCCCAGGGGGCTCGGCGCGGGGCAGCCCCGGGGAGCGGGCCCTGCCCCCGGCCCTGCCGCCCGGAAGCCCGCTGCCTCTCCAGGCTCCCCTGCATCCCGCTCTGGTCTGCTTTGCCCACGAAGATAGGAGCTGCCCCCCGAAAGAGGGGGGCGTGTGTGCCCCGCCTCCTGTTCCTAGTGCCGGCGCCGCGCAGCCGCTGGGGAGCCCGAACTGCGTGAAAAGCCGCGGCAGGTTCCCCATGATGGGCATCGGGCAGATGCTCAGGAAGCGGCACCAGAGCCTGCAGCCGGCCGCGGACAGGCCCCTGGAGGCCAGCACGCCCTCGCTGCTGCCCGCCGCGCCCGGGGGCCTCCCCTTCGACCTGGCCGACGGCGTCCGGGGCCAGTGCTGACGCGGCACGGTGGGCCTTGGCGCGTCCGAGGACAGCAGCGGGACCGGCCGGCGCCCCGCCGGGGGCGCAGCTGGAACCCACAGGGGCCGGAGCTCAGCAGGGCGGGCTGCGGGGACGGCCGGCCACGGTTGCTGCCTCCTGCCATGCCTCCTGCTGCCCGCCCTCATGGTGAACGCTGCACACCAGCCTGGGGCTGCGCTGAGTGTGGTTGTTGCCGGACCTACCTGCACTGTGTGCCCTGCCTGGGCCTCCTGGGTCATGATCGCTTTGGCGCTCGGCCACGGCTGCGGGGTCCTTCCTTCCACGAGGCGACTCCCTCACTGGCCCTCTGAGTGGGAGGGCACAGCTGGGCAAGGACCGAGCCCAACGGTGGGGACCCCATGGAAGGAGGAGACCGCAGGGGCATGCTTTTCTGCAGCGAGGTTTTGACCGAGCCTTTCCTTTTTTATGAAACTTGCTAACAGCTCAATGATCTTCCCCAAAGATGATGATTCTTTATGTGGTATTGTCAGGTTGAAGTGACACAATTTTAGGAACCCGATGGAGAGAGGGGCCGTGGTTCCACCAACCCCGTGCCTCCCGAGAGGACCAGAGCGGAGGGCAGGGAGGCCCCCGGGGTCTGTGGTGGCCGGTGGCCCTGGTGGCCTGCAGGGCGGGCACAGCCCTGTGTCTGGGCCATCGGAGCAGCGTGGCCTGGTCCCTCTGGAAGGCGCAGGACGTAGTTTCCGTTGGTTGGTTAGAGAGAGAGAAAACAGTTATGGTGGGATCGGGACACGCAGAGTGCGTGGCCTCCCACTGGGCAGGTTCCGAGCGGCCGAGAGGAGGCGCGGGGCTCAGGGCTCGGCTCGTTTGCTGGGAGCCGTGCGCAGGCCGGCCTGGCGGGATTTGCGTCCAGGGACAGGACCCGTTCTCTCTGAGGACAGGCGCGGTTCCCAAACAGGCCCCGAGCTGCTGTTCTGTTTCCACACCTTCCGCCAAGGACCGAACCAAAGATGCGCCTCGGCTCCGTGTCCACCGCCCCTGCGTGGGCGCTTTGTGGACCCCGGCGAGGCCTGACCATGTCTCGCTGGCACCGCCGGGGCCATCTGCACGAGGGGCCTGGGCCTGGCGCTCGGGGACCACTTGGTTGTGAGCAGCGTGGGGAAAAGGACTGGCACTGGCTGGAGAGCCATTAATTCGCAGGAGACGCCGCAGCGGCACGGGGCCCTCACTGTCTGCCGCCTGCAGGAGAGACTGAAGCCGCACGGTGGCCGCGCCAGGGCCTGGCCTCAGCCCTTGGGAGCCGCACAGCCCGCGCCTGTTCACTCCGGTGGCCAGATGGTGCCACCGCAGGGGGCGGCTCGTCTTTGCTCATCTGCACCGTTATTAAATGTCTGTATTTCTGTGAAGACTGTGACTGCACTCTCCCCTCACTGTGCCTGCCCCCACGTCCCTGACGGAGCGAGGGAAGCGGGGTGTTTGCCAACCCTGGAAGCCACTGCGCTGCCCAGTCCTGGCTGGCCCGCATGGACCTGCGGCGACTGCTCCCCAGAGGACAGGCGCATCCCCGTGCTCGGGCTTGGCGGCGGGGGGGGGGGGGGGGCGGGCGGTGTCAGGCTCCTGGCTGTGTCATAATTCCTTTGTATGGCTCCGGGCTGGGTTCTGGAACATTCCATCGACAGCAGAGCTTTTGAAGCAGAGAGAAGCATGTGAAAAGACCCTCTCCATTGGATATGAGCTCGGTTTTCGACCGGGGAAGAAACCTTTCCCAAAGGTGGTTCCCCACGGGCTGCGCACCTGTGCCTTGTCAGCCACCTGCCTGGCTGTCCTTTCCCGCATCTCCCTTTCCCCCGAGGACACCTGCAGGCTGCCACACGCCCCACCGCGTCTCCCTGGGGACCTTGCACTGTGACTCGGGCGTGTTGCAGACCCACTGGGTGGCGAGGGGCAGGGGAGGGGCTGAACTGTCTTTTCTGTGTGTGAGCGCCTGACAAACGTATGGAATCGAATGAGAGGAGAAATGTTAAAGTCTTTATTATTTTATTATATTTATATGGGAAGCCTGGCCGTCCCTTTGGTAAGTACAACGTGCATTGTTCCTCTGACCCACGACCGTCTGTCACGCATCTGTGACCTCGGTCAGCCTGCAGTCCCTGACGGAAGTGACCGGACTGGCCTCGTGTGCTGTCCAGGGGGAAAAGGCCACTGCGGTGTCGCAGTTGGGTCACATGCAAGGACTGTGTGTGTCACTGTTATCAAATGTCTGTACTTTTTATAAAGACTGTGAAATACACTCTTCCCTCACTGTGCCTGCTTCACATATTTGCTGATAAACCGTAGAACGTGGCGCATGTTGCCGACGGTTGAAGTGCTTGGCCAGCAAAGGACAGGCCGCGGGTGGGGGTCGAGGGGCGGGGAGTCTGCGGGTGTGCTCTGCGCTCGCCTCCCCGCTTTGTGACCCGAGGCCCGTGTGATGGATGCGCAGCGATTGGCTGCTCAGGATGAGTCGGCGTCTTTTTGGGGGGGACACGGGCTCTCCCACAAAGACTCCGAAAGCGGCACGTGGAGAACGACGTCTGTGTACGTCACCGCGAGGTTTGGTCCTTGTCTCAGCCTCGGGGGCGGGGGGGGGAGCCCGGGAGGGGGTCTGGGTGGGCTGTCGGGCCGCCGCGCTTCTGGCGTCACGACTGCACAGCAGGTTCTTCCCATGCGCTGCCCTGCTCGCGCCCCATGCCACGGGGGCTCGGAGGGCGGCGTGGGAGAGACAGCCCTGCAAGAAGCCCGAGGTTGGGGGGCAAGGAGGAAAGGCTCCTGAGTTGTCATGACGATGTTCTTTTAGGAACTGGGACATTCTAGAATAAAAGAGACCTGAGCTTGTCTGGCTCACCCCAGCTCTTTTGAGGGAGACAAAACGGGGGCCCCAGTGAAGGTTCATTTCTCCCACGCATTTTGATGTGGCTCAACGCCCCGGGTCCCTTGGGTGCACTGTCCCGGGCGGGTCTGGGGGGCAGCCCTGCCCCCCAGAGGACACAGCAGTCGGAGTGCGGCCGCCGCCGTCGGGGGGAAGTGAAGAGCAGGCCAAGCTGTCAGACAGGTGTCGGCGTCTTTATGTCACTTACAAGTTGTGTAGCTTCTCAAGGGGCTGAGCGCCCCCCTCCACTGTCCCCTACCGACTCCTGGGGCACGAGAAGCCTCTTGCTTCCCAGCGGGGAAGCAGCAGGCCCCCGAGGGCTGTGTCGGTGCGGCCGCTGCTGGAAGGCTGTTGGGCTTCACCAGGTTAAATCAATAAAATGGTGCGTGGCCACATCACAAAGCTAAACAAATTCAGAGAGGATGCAAGGCGGTGCTTTAGGGGGGATCGGGGAGCCGCTTGGCTATTGTGTCTGTTTTCTTTGTAGGACCCTCGTGGGTCCTACAGGCCCGGCGAGAAAGATGCAGCGCTGGTCCCGTGTAGGGGCGTCCCACCTCAGTGGGAGGAACCGAATGCCTGCAGAGTCACGAGTGGGTGACTGGCGGCAGCTCTTTCCAACAAGGGAGCTTTTCAGCCATTGGCTTCCAAAGACAAATGGGACACCAGACAGAAATACGGATGTGTCGTTCTTTTCTGGGGACGGTCTCCAGGACAGTCTCCTCCCACACCTGATGCCTGGGCTCCAGGGTGGGGGCGGGGGCGGGGCAGGACAGGCAGCCCGCAGCCTCTGCACCGAGCTGCTGCGGGGACAGGGAGGCATTTCAGGGGGCTGGCCCGCCGAGCGTCAGGCAGCGCAGCATGGTGCAGACGGCGGGGTCGCCTGGGGTGACAGGTGCGCCGCTGCCGCTGGAGCTCGGCAGGGAGGGCGGCGCCAGGAAGCGGCAAACGCCCCGACCGAAGGCCCGCGCCAGGCACGGAACGCGTCTCTGCCCGGGAGACGCCCGGAAGCTGGTTTGGAAGGAAAGTCTGTGTCTGATGTTTGTAAACCTGGCTGGGAACAGGCAGAGCACAGCCTGTGCAGGAACGTGGCCTCCCGTCCCGAGCGAGGCAGCGACCGTGTGGCGAGGACGCCTTCCCCAGCGCGCGTCTCTCCGGCAGCTGGGCATTGGGGCACTGGGCTCCGCTGCGGTCGCACGGGGGGGCTCAAGTCTCTGCGACTTGCCCTGTGAGGGATCATCTCTCAGCACCGGCTGCTGTGGCTCCGTGGACTGAGCGCCGGCCTGCAAACCAAAGGGTCGCCGGTTCGAGTCCTAGTCCGGGCACAGGCCTGGGTTGGGGGCCAGGTCCCCAGTAGGCGGCGCACGAGAGACAACCACACATGGATGTTTCCCTCTCTTCCTCCCTCCCTTCCCCTCTCTCTGAAAATAAATAAATAAAACCTTTTTTTCACCTGGCCCAGACTCCAGAGCGGCTGGCGGGCGCCCCCGTGGGGACGTGGGGACCCGGGCTTCTTCCAGCTGTGGCTTCACCCTCTGCCAAGGGAGCTCGTCGGGCTGCCCCAGCGGCGACGGCCGCGCCTGCCCAACGCCCTGCCGGGAGCCAGGCCGACAGACGCGGGGGGCACGTGGGCCCCTGGGGCGCGGCTCACGTTTGTGCGGCAGGGAAGGGTCAGGCGCCTGGTCCTGAAAGGGCCCCTAAAAGAAAGCACTGGCCTTCCCCCCGGTCACCGGACTGTGGCACCTCTTAGTGTGTAAGGGTTACCCGTTCTCGATAAAGGGATAAATAGCGTCAATTAACATTTTTTATTTAATTTAAGGGGCTGTTATGGGCTGAGTTGTGTCCCCCCAGATTCAGACATTGCGGCCCCAGTGTGGCGGGGTCTGGAGACAGGGCTTGAAGGGGAGGAGGGAGGTCACACACGACCACCAGCAGGGCGGGTCCTCCTCCAGTCTGACGGGCGTCCTTCCAAGGAGAGGGCGTTCGGACGCACGGAGGGACGCAGGTGGAGGACGGGCCAGGCGGAACCGCGAGGAGGCGGCCGCGGAGGGGCCTCGGGAGAAACCAGACCTGCCGCCGCGGGCCTCTGGGCCAATCAGCCTCCGGAACGGGG